TATATTACGTACAAATAGTAATTGGACTAAAATTATTATAATTTTTATCACATTGTTTTGTTGCTTAGAATTGCGAGAACATCGCCTGAAACAAGATAACAAACTTTATAAAAGAAAAAAAAGTACAACAAAGCTACAGTGAGTAATCGATGAACAACGTTAGAAATCATAATGGCTTTACGCGGCAAAACTTTCGAGATAACGTTATCGAATTTTTTATTTAAGGATATAAAGTACTCTCAAGATTAATTGTTCAAATAGGGCGAATTGCACAGTGTTGGCCGTAGGTCGCCATGCCTTCCGGGCGACCTACGGCGTGGCAGCTTCCCAGCATAGGTCGCCATGCACGCCAGGCGACATGGTAGGTCGCCATGCACGCTGGGCGACCTTGTCCTGCGCCTTGCTCCCCGTTGCATGCTCGCTTGCTCCCCGTTGCATGCTCGCTTGCTCCCCACTGCATGCAAGCGACCTCTTCCGACGTGCATGGCGCATGCAAAGCTTCATCCTCTCGCCACAACTTAGCAAAGCTTCATCCTCTCGCCGCAGCTCGTATAGAACACTTTTATCGTGATTTCATTGCTGCATGCATGAGGGAGACAGGGGTGAGGGAGGTAGAGCCACCTTTGTCGTGATTTCAGCAGAATCACGGAGGAATTCGAGCCATTTGCATGGCGACCTACAAGGTCGCACCGAGTATATGGCGACCTATGATCTCGTTTGGCCTGCATGGCGACCAATCCATGCACTGTATAATTCACACCATTTGAACAATTATTTCTTGGACAACATTATCACGTGAATTGTTTTTTTTCACAGCAATATCTCGTGAGTTTTGCTGGCTTTACGCATAAGAAGATAACAAACTTGATTAAAAAGTTGTTCGATCGTGGATGTCTAAAAAAATGCAGTCTAATATAAGGTTAAAGAAATGTGCAACTGAAATAGTTAATTTGCAAAGTCTTGCTTTATTGAGTTCCTTAACTATTGAAAGTTATAAAATGATCGTCCGACTATTCATATGTTTTAAACTTGTCATTTTTAGTTAAATAATTGATGGTAATCTTAGATGGATGTTGACATGTTCACTGAAATATGATACTCGTTTAAGATTCTGGGATCAAATTTTATCATGTCACATTCATCATGTTAATGTCTAGCTCAGAATGTCGATTTTTTAACATAAACGAACGGGTTTTGGAACATATAAATACTCACATGACCATTATATAACTTTTAATAGTCGAGGAACTCAACAAAGCATATGTTCTATAATTAAGGGATCATTCGTAACTTTTAATATTGAAAGACTCAACAAAATAATACTCTACAATCAAATGACCATTTATACGCTATATCTTAAAATTTATATAAAAAAATTAAAACTTCCTATTTTAAAATTTCTGAATCTGCCGATATACATCTTACTGGTTTACATCTTCCAACAAGTCTAATAAAGCCTCTCAATACGTCTACTACACCTTCCAGCACATTAAACACGTCCATAATCACATCCACCACAAATAAAGTATACCACAATATATCTGTCAAGTTATCTAACATATATTGCTAGAAAGAAAATAAATGAGATTTTATGTTTGTAAATATCAAATAAGATGGCACGTTCGTCTAACACTAGTGAAGCAATAACACGAAAAAGGAACAATTAGTTGGAGTCAAAAACTCTAACATCACTTATCTAAAAAACTCTAATATCGTAATACATTATATTAGATGCATAATTATCTAAAATATGTGGGCGGAGCCACATATACCTCGGAATGGACACCTACCTACTTTTAAATCCGAATTTTCTTTGGTTAGTTTCTTATTTTGTTGATAGTGTCCATCCTGAAATTTTAATTTTGTCCACTCATTCAAAAATTGTGCAATTAGCTTATGTGTGTCTACCCTAAAAATATTTCTGAACCGTAACTGAAAATATGTTTATAATATTATTATGCTTAATATACTTTTTAGGTACTTAAATTATATCTCAAATTGATTTCTGGTGCTTAAAGAATTTTTCGTTAAAAATATGTGACTAATTTTTTTAAAAAATAAACGTAACACGTGTCACTTAACCCTTTTTTTAACAGTATACATCTAAAAATGTAACAAAAAACATTGACACTTATTTTTAACGAAAATTCTTTATATAAAAAATATTTAAAGTATAATTGAGACACCTAAATGTGTATAAAGTCATCTCTTTACTTTTTTCTTCTTCTTTCTTTTCATAAGGGGAGGCAGGGAGGATTGTCTTTGACCGAATCCAAAACTTAATTTCAACAAGTAATGATGTAAAATTAATTTGACAAGTTACATGTGAATATTATTTTTTAAATAATTTAAATTTATAACTTTTGTGATCTACTAGTCCAATAACATATTCTCATTACTCCTACTCCATTTATGCACGCAACTCTGTAATCAATTAATTAAGAATGCAAACCATTATATATATATATATATATATGATGCAATGTGATCGATGACAAAAAAATATGATGCATGCATGAAGATATTAAAACCCAGGCAAAAATAAATAAAACCAAGTTGTACCATTTAGTAGAGTAGTTGTTTGAGCAGTTGGAAGTAAATATTGTGTTGTATGTTGTAATTAGCCATGAACAAAATTTAATTTTATCTAAATAATAATTAAATTCTTCAATTTGATTAATAATAATAAAAAGTTGAATCGTAATTTTAGAAATTTGACTCGATTTACAATATTCCAAATAAAGTTTGAGTCATAAAATGACTATAAATTTCAAAAATTTAATAATTAGTGAATTATTTTTTTAATTTCGAGTCGAGTCTCTTAATCAGATATGATGTATTGAAATCACACATGAAAAAAAAATATGAATAAATATATATATATATATCGTATATGATTATATAAATGATTAATCAACTCAACTTGATTTGATGCTCACTCTTAATATATATATATATATATACACATAACAGACAGTAGGCAAGGCATATATAAAGTATAATCATCTTCTCCTCTGAGTTGTGTGTGACTGGTAAAATGGTGAGCACGACTAATAATGACACTTGTTCATCTGATGGCCAAACGATTGTGGGTAATTTCATGCGTTGCAGGACGTCCAAGTCATACTTGTCCGACAGCATTGCTCCCATGCCATCGTGTAGACGATTGTCATTTTCCGACCTCAGCCGTTCGTCGTCGATGCTATCAGCGAGGATCTTGCCCTGTCTTTTGTGGGTGATTTGTATGATTTCCAGCTAAGCGAGCTGCGGGCCATAACCCAGAATATTACATGCTTGGGGAAGGTGGGTTCGGGACCGTGCATAAAGGTTACGTGGATGAGAAGTTGAGGCAGGGTTTGAAGGCTCAAGCTGTTGCTGTCAAGCTTTTGGATATTGATGGCCGCCCAGGACACCGTGAATGGCTTGTAAGCCAATTCAATATATCTTAATCTTTTGACTAAACTAGTCATCTGATCACTCACTTATTATTTTTAGTTTCTTTTTGGTCACTCAACTATTATTTTTAAAAAATTATGTTCAACGTTACGTTTTGGTTCTGTTTTAATCACTCGCTGTTAGAAGATTAATGTGATACTGACATGATATTTTTATTATTATTTCTCAATATTGATGTGGCATTAGTTTATGATGAAACTTTAGTTTCATCTTTAATTTTTTGGTTAATTATACTCGTTTAGTATCCAACTATCATTTTTGTTCTATTTTGGTTACTCAACTATTTTTTGTTTCAAACTTTGGGATATTACAAATTCCACTTAAGCTAATTCACTTCCAAGGAAGGCTGTATGATTCATTCAGGTCCACCTTAATTAATAGGGTAAACTACGTATTTAGTCACTCATCTATTCCCGCAGTTTCATTTTGGTCTTAGTTCTTTTTTTCCAAAAAATTATGCATAGCTTTACGTTTTGAGCACCCGTTAAAAAATTAGCGGTGATGTTGATGTGTCACCTTAAGGTAATGCCAAATCGTCATTGAAAAAATTTAAAAAAAATGTCATGTCAATAGTTCTATTTATTTTTTAGTGGCTGGCGACCAAAACGAAATGAAAGCGTAACATTAAGTATGATTTTGAAAAAATATATATTTGATGACTGAAATGGAATTGCAAGAATAGGTGGGTAACTAAATACATAATTTACCCTAATTAATATAATGTATATCCACTCAGCCATGTATGTATGATGTTTGATTAATGCAGGCCCTGGCTTGTAAATATTTGAACTGAGGGAAAAGACTGATATATATATATATATATATATCATATAGATAGGTTTTGAAAATAGGAGATTTACATACATGTGAATTAAATGTCTTTGAATGAGCATTATCCTTCGATTATCCCCATAAAATGTTTTTAGATAATCATAATATATAAATTATCCTACTAATTTTTTATTGATGGGAAATCATCTAGTTAAGTTATTAAATGTGAATATTGTTTTTTTTAATATTAAGGGGTAGAAATTTAGGAGCAGTAAATACGTTTTTGAAAGTAATAATTTTCTTCAAAAATATCACTACTTTAAGACATTTGTATTGATTTAAAATGACACTTCCTCCAACTACCACGAACTTGTAAAAAAAAGAAATTAAAAGCCAAAGTAGCACATATCTTAAAAATTTAATCATGAAAACGGCTCGCTGCTGATGTCAAATGTTGAATGGAAACGACAAATTGTTAGCAATACGCAAAGCGACTTTCCTTTCGTTGAGCATTGAAGTAGTAATAATATTTCTTAGTAAACATCAACAAATTGAGCAGCCAATTCCTTCTCCCTCTCCCCATCCCCTTCCCTCTTATAGCCCAAAGGACACTGCAAAGGGCAAGTTCACCACATTTCTCCCGACCCACAATCATATTTTCCTTTTGCAGCCAAAAGTGATCATCCACAGATCATGCAGGCTGCAAAACAGAGAACCCAAATTTCCTAAGCATCACGATCGAGATTACCGATCTATCTCTCTTTTTCTTCCTATTTCTTCCATTTTGTCACCAGGGTTTAGAGCTTACTATCTACATGGCTGCCAATGCTCCTCGGGAAGTATGGAGTAAAACTGCAAGCTCAGTTCTCCACAGCCACCAAATCGTGTCTGCAGATATCGCCACGGCAAAGAGGGCACACCCTGCAAGCCATAACATGTCAGGACATCCCTAAGGCCAAAAACACAATAATCCTATTGCAATAAAAGTAGCATAAATGGGTGAAAAGAAAAGAAAGGAAACCAATTCCACCACCCAAGAATCCAAGATGGCATTCAGTAGGAAAGAAAATAACTAGTTGAGTTTTGGAAAACATTTTCCAGTTTTAATCTATACATGATCAACAAAATAAAGCAAATAATAAAATGGGGAAATTCTTGGTTTTAACTGTAACTCAGAAACCTTGTTTTCCCATTTACCAAACTTAGTTGATGTACCTTCTTTTATTTATCACAATATTGAAGTAAAAAGTGGTGATAGAAAATGAAAAACATTTCCCAAACCAAACAGGCCCTTGTTTTTAAACATTTTCAGAGTTTGGAAAAATTGGTCAATGGTACACACTGGGAAAGCCTCTATGGGAGTTACGGTCTTGCAGATACTATGCAAGTGAACACACCTTGTTTTACCAACAAATATATAAAACCAGTGAGGCAAAGTGCACAAACTTCATAAAAGGACTTTCCAAGATTTTATTGCAATTCTTACACATTGAAAGTGTCGATAGTAAAAGTCACGCAAGGCTCTATCCAGCCAAAAATAATTAAAAGACAGTGGATACATCACAAGTTATGTTAATGGAATGAAGGAATCTAATTCTCCACACATTTTACCACAAGGTTAGGCGGCAAGTATAAGACAACCTTCACAGTCACATAAAGGATCGACAAAACTTTGATAGGTAGCATTTGACAGATAATTTCCTAGGGGAATTACATGAAAGGAAAACAAGAGGTAGATTGATGAGAAGGAAAGATTACAGCATGCAATTCCAATGCTCAAAGACCAAGCATTACCCTTTGGCAGTTTTATATATGTTACATCACCATTCACCACATAACATAAAAAATGCATTTCTTCAAAATTTCAAAGGGGAATATTAACAACTCTTTCAAATATCATGCGACTTCTTTCTGGTTTGCTTCAATATTCTTACTTGATAGCCTAAAATGTGGAGTGCACCCATGTTCTACTTCAGGGGAAGAAATGGCAAGCCTATTTTATCTAGCACACCCTTTTTTTTATAAGATATCTAGCACACCCTTAATCGTTAACTTACAAATGAATTGCAATAATAGTTGTCAGTCTTGTATACCTGTGAATCTCCTTGAGCCACTTGTCTATACAAGTTCTGTGGAATTCATGATTACAAGGCAATATCCGCATGCTATCCCCCTCCTCATACTCCACAAGGCATATGTAACATCTGTTCATTGAATATAAAAGACAAAAAATTAAGAAACAAAAGATGCCTCGTTGCAGACTAATTCCATATGAAGTTGCATTGTTTTCAGCTTTCTTGGAAATTTTTGCTCAGCCCTAGAGGATATTAAAGCTTTTATTCTAGATACTTCAAGTGATAACTTCACATCTCCAGTTTACATCCATGATATCTATGCATATTACTCCAGGTTTTTGTTTATATTTCAAATTTACATGTTATTTGTAGGCTTGTAGCTGGAAAAACATAATTGATTAAAGTAAAATTGGAGTCCTCTAGACAGGAAAATTGCATATGGAACTCATCTCAACCAATATTGGGGATTAATGAATGGATAATTAAATTAATTATTCCTTCTTTTGTAAGTCATTGACTTGAGAAATCATGCCATTAAATTTCAATTCCACATTTTACATAGAATTAGGCTCGTGAATCCACACAAAGGATTACCAATGAGGTCAGCCAGTAATAGACCTACTTGATTGTTACTTGTTAGACGCCAAACCTTCTTGAGCCTACTAGTGACTATAACTTGGAAGCATGCTTTAACAGTTAACTTCCATACAGAGCCCAAACTTCATTTCCTCCATGATAATGAACTAGATCATTCTTTTGGGGTGCACTTAATGTACTAAATTAGCTGATTGAATATTGATTTCAAGCCATTCTGCATTAAATAATCCCAAGAAAAGAAAATTTTCAGCTACCTTATCATCTGAGGCTCATATCGTCATTAGCTTAATTATAGTTTGATATATAGATCAAGAAGACTCATTATCAGTCTACAAACATATTGTAGTTTAGAAAGCTTTCACTTCTTTCTAAACTGATTATGTTTTTATAACTTACAATGAGCTAAAAAGTCAACCACGTATACTTTCATTGCAGATCCATTTAAAGTCGAGGCATATGCAGTTAAATGTAATCTTCAACTATCTCTCGGAGACAATTTTTCAAGTGTGCTTCACATTTTTCAAATAGCAGACGAAAAATAATACTTACTGTGCAGCTTCATCATTATGAAGTTTGTGCGACTTGTATACTTTGAGAGGAAGTAATTCCACAACTTCATTAGGTGCAGGAACAGAACCAATTGAAGATACAGAAGGTCGTGATGATAAAACCACGGATTGCTGGTGAATTTCATCCAGAACCTAGTTAAAATGCATAGAAATTTAACTCCGAGAGATATGTGCAAGAGAAAGAAGGTTGATCCACCCAGAGAAGGCCAACATAACAAATTCAAATCACCTCAAATAATGCTTCAGCTAACATAACAATTCTGGATATACTAGCCCTGGCACTTGTCTCATCATTTGAATTGGAATCTCGATTATTTACACGGCAAGTGCATCGACCAGTTCGATGTTGACCAGATAATATACAAGACCTTTCATGTCCGGAGAAGTTCTCAAAACGGCTTCCTAGCCGTTGAAGAGCTCGAACCTAAAGCAGTCACATAGGTCAGTAACTAAAGGAAACAGATAAAAATAAGCATCACCTTTCACTGAGGAACAATATTCAATCAACTTATGGCAGAATGAAAGCAGGAAAAACCTAAAGAAGAAGCAGACACAATGAGATACAAATAAAGCACTAGGAAAAATTGTTAGCCATAGCAATTTTTGTATTCGAAATGTTAAAGAAGAATGTGCAGTTCAACAGAGGTTGATGAGATGTTATCTGCATAATTCAGTAAACATCAGATATTAAGTTCGAAGATTACAAACCTGAGATCGTATTCTTCTCCTCCTTTCAAGGAAATTGGATCTGTGCTCGAGTAAATCGTGATAGCTAGCTTCTCTAGATCGTGAATTTTCAACTTCAAGGTGCTGAATGTTAAAAACGGGATTGTTGGTGATAATGGGGGCAGTGGATGTAGATGTGGATGTGGAAGAAGAGTTAGCCGATTGCTGTGACTCTATATCCGCTGCAAATGCGTGAGTTTGATTGATGTTTTGCTGTAAAGGGCAGAACGAGAAATCTGATAAGGAAGCTCTACGAAGAACACGGTCACGAAGCCTTCCAACGCTCAGTGTTCTGCTAAAACGTACATTCCTTTCAGCGGGCTCTCGACTTCCAACTCCAATACGTCTATCCCTATCCCTATCTGTGCCCGCATCATGGAAGATTACGGGAGAATATAAATTTACAGAAGAAGAAGAATTTTGGGGAAGTTGTTGTGGACGTTCTTCAAATGTCTCGGAGTTGTCATCCGGATTCAATATCGCAAGATTTGAAGGATATGCCCTAGACGAATCCAAACTATTAGCTCTGCTTAATCTGAAACTAACATTACGCGGAAGGAAGCTAAAGCCGGAGAGGCAACGAGAAGAAGAGTGATGCACTGCTGCGGTGGTGGCTCTGGCGGAGTTGCTACCACCACTGGAAGATATGCATGGCAGCGGCATTTCGTAATCAGATACCGCTTCACCCTTAACCTTCCTAGAACATTCTCTTTTGACCTGAACCGGCTCAGATTCCGGTTCTCTCCGGATCCGGTTGGCGAAATTAGAGCCGTAGTCTTTATTACGGGATTCAGCAGATCCAGAAGGCGGTCCGAGGCAAGAGGATTGGAAAACCCGGTTCTTCCCAATAGATCTTCTGGACGAGGAAGCTCCTCCTCTGCAAGAACCCTTGCTCCCACCGGATCCCATCTTCAACCTAAATCACAAACAAAACAAAACAAAACAAAAAAGGAAATGGGAACAAAATCAAAGCCTAAAATTACGTCATTTCCATCTTCATGATAATGCTAGACAAAAAAAGGGACGCATTCTCTTCACAAATTACAAGCGGAGTTCAAATGAGATACATTATTTACGGATGGTGTTTCTGATTTCAGATTAGATCTGGACGATGAAGTCGCGGCTTCAATAAGAAATTTAAAAGTTTAAATTTGGTCGAGAATAAAAGATTATCTGGGAATAGGATTACGGGAATGTTGTATTTTGTGCTCGATCAGAAATGTAAGATTATCGTGTTTGGTTAAAGGAATAAAAGATTATTGAATGTATATTTGACCAAATTATTCTTATTATATATTTGTATAATATTACAAATTGTAAAATATTTATATATTTTCTTTTAAAAATTAAATTCATAATATTTATATAATTTTTTTTACAAAACTAAAAATATAAAAAAGGTTTAATGAAAGGGTAATTTTTTTAATCTTAAACTTCATATAAAATTTTAATTATAGATTTTTTTTAAATTTAAAATAATTTAAGGATAAATTTAAATTTAACATTTGTAGAATTTTTATTATTCAATGACAGAAGAATGATATTTTTGAAAAAAAATAAAAAATAAGGGTATTTTAGTCCAAAACGCCGGTAATGTTACAATACTTAAGGGAAGGGAGGTAATGACATTCCCGGTAATATACCCCAAAAAATCTACTATTAATAATAAAATATTACCGGTAATGAGATTCCCGGCCAACCAAACATAAGAATATGAAATTCTCATCCATGAGAATCACATAATCCTTGAACCAAACACCCTTTAATATATTTTCTCTTTGGCTTAAATGTCGTATCTCAATTATATCATTTGTAAAGTGTTTTTTAAAATGCTTTATTATTTCAATTATAAATTGTTAGTCCATTTACTCCAAATCGATAACATCATTAAAAATAAAAGGGTAAACTACTCAATGGTTACTAATGTTTGGATAAGTTTTCGTTTTCATCAATTATGTTTTAAAAGTTATAAATCGGTCATAAGTGTTATCATTTGTTATAAATTAGTCACTCGAAGTTAACAGGCGGCGTAACGGAAAACACACGTGGCCTGTTAAGAGCAATTAACATGCTTATTTGGATGGTATAATTACAAAATAATCCATGTTATTTATATATTATTTCAATTTGATCCTATTTTTAATAAATTAAAATATATTTATTTTTAATTCTTATAAATAATGATATATTTAAAAAAAGGAAATCAAAAATTTAAAATTAGTTATAAAAATAAAAAAATTAATTTTTTAATGTTAGGGTAAACTAATAAAAATAGAAAAATACGTTTTTTTTAATAAAATTAACATTTTTTCTTCCCCAATACTAATATTAAAATCTTTTTTATTTTTTTAAATAAATACTAATATTAAAATCTTGTTTGTGAAGAGAAAATTTCACTCGATGCATAAATTTTTTAAAATTAATTTTATTAAGTCTTCATTTTATGAATAGACTTATAATTTAATTTAAATCTTTTAAATTAAATTTTATCACAACATAAATTGTAAATTTAATTATTATTATTGATATGATGAAAACTTAATAAGCACATAGGTCATGAAATTGTTTAGGCAATGGACAGAACTGCATCCGAAGTTACTCGTGATGATATCATCGGTGAATATTCCGAGAGCTTTGTAGATTGGGTAACTAATGGAGATTTTATTCTTCCGATAATCGTCAAGTCGAACTAGTTCGTTATAGATTCGTGATAGAATTCATTTCAACCACAAGAAGAAACAAATTGAATCCATCCGAAGGATATATCCGAGATAATAAAAATAAATCGGTCGAATGTCTGGCTTCTGCCCAAGGAAAAGTAAATTTTCAGCTCGTGTTATATCATATGATACGACCGCATTTGCTTTATCACGATGAATTCATTAGGTAGTGTAAATGGGTGCCTATCCCTAATTCATTTTGGAGCTTCGATTGCCTCTATCTGCAAAAAAGCCATAGAGATTTCGATTTCTAATGATTGTAAATATTTCATAAATAGATTTATGTCGTCTTATTGAGAGCCCCTTAACATTATTGGTATTCATGTATTTTCTCGTGCTTCGATATAGCATCTTTTTGGGAAATACATAAATGTACATTCACAAATTTATCATTTCATGTTATGAAACTTTTGTCTGGTATATTATTTTTAGCTTGAATATTGAATTTTATATTTTCATATCACTTCAAGTAATATTAAATTAAAATTTTGGACGAAAATTTACTTGGAAATTAAGTTTTTTTTCTTGAATCATGGAAATTAAGTAATATTTTCATGTTACTTGGAAATTAAGGTTTTTTTCTTGAATCATGAAGAGGGAGGGGCTTCAAAAATTTACTAGGTGCCGATGATATCATCACGAGTTACTTCGGATGCAGTTCGGTCAATTCCCTAAATAATTTCACGACCTATGTGCTTATTAATTTCTAATCACGTTAATTTTTCATCATATCAATGATAATATTATTATTAAATTTTTGTTTTTATATCATCACGTTAATTAAAACTAGGATCAAATTAATTTAATAAGATTTTCGATTTGGATGGGAAACAATCCTAAATCTAAAAATTGAAAATCTCGTCAAATTTCAAAATTCAAAGCAGTCAAACTAAAGAGAATCGAGGACTAATTGCCGGACATCAACTGAAAATTGGAGAATGAGAAAGAGAACTTACAGTGATTTAGGAACTATTTGTAATCATTCAAAACTGGGGAGCGAGCAAAGAGTTTAAAGTGAGGGATTTTTTTAATTTCATTTGGGTTTTTTTAGATTTAGGGATACAAAATTATTATTAAAATATTTATCATGAGATAAAATTTAATTTAAAAGATTTAATGACAAATTAAATTATAAGACTGTTCATAAAATAAAATACTTAATAAAATTAATTTTAAAAAAATTTATGCACCGAATGAAAAAATTTATCCACAAACAAGATTTTAATATTAATATTTATTTTAAAAAAAGTTTGGGAAGAAAAAATTGTTAATTTTATTAAAAAAAAAGTTGATTTTTTTGTTTTTATTAGTTCACCCTAACATTAAAAAATGATATTTTTTTTGTTTTTATAACTAATTTTAAATTTTTGATTTTCATTTTTAAAAGTATATCATTATTTATAAGAATTAAAAATAAATATATTTTAATTTATTAAAACTAGGATCAAATTGAAAGAATATATAAATAACATAAATTATTTGTGTAATTATACCATCCAGGTAAGCCTGTTAACTGTTTTTAACAGCCTACGTGTGTTTTTCCGTCACGCCTGTTAACGGCGAGGGACCAATTTATAACAAAGGATAACATTAGTGACCTATTTGTAACTTTTGAAATATAATTGATAAAAACAAAACTTACTCAAATATTAGTGACCATTGTAGTAGTTTACCCAAATAAAATTTATGGATCAATCGGAACAAACCGCATCACTACATCAAATATTAGTGAACGTTCGGTTATGTTCGTTCGGTTTTGTTCGTTTATGTTTATTCATTTATGTTTAACTCAATCTTCTTAAATCAATTTTGGTGATCAATTTGTAAGTATCTTAAAAATATTAATTAATCTGATATTCTGATGACCAACTCCATAATTAACCTAATTTTATCTGGAGATTAAATCTAATATGTTAACCCGTGAGGCACCTTGCACCTATATTCATTTCCCCCTTTTTTTTCTAAACCCTAGTCTTCACTAGAGAGTCGAGACGATCGCTGAAAGCTTCAAAACAAGTTATATTATAGTGCAATCTAAAGTTTTACAGGTATGTTTTCATCTCTTTCTCTGTTTTATTTGGCTTAATAGTTGATATGTAAAGTTATTACGGGTATCTTCACATCTAAAACTCAAGAAAACATCATACTTTTTCTAGAAATAGATGGGAAGATAAAGGTAACAATCGGAAGTAAATGAGCATCAGTAAAGAGAAAAATATATAGAATTTGCCAGAAAACAAAACAAAGGTTTCTATGTTATTTCTGAAAAAGAGTGTAATAGCGAAAGTAATGGGTTTTACAGAAGAACCCCTTAATAAGTAGAAAATACACTTTGATAATGAACTTGTGTTTTCATAGTTCTTGTGTAACCTTTAGTTGTGGAGTAGACTTTAGGTACATTAAAATTTTGAACGTGGTTTAGCAATAATATCAGTTACGATATGTAGTATCGAAGGGATTTGGATCTATGTTATTGCCTTATAGTTCAATTTGTACTGTTCGAAATCTTAATGCGGTTAAATTTTCTACTCTGCCAACGGAAAGGATCATTATTAACAAACCTCACTAAAATCTGACATTGATGTCACAAAACTTTTAGCAGGCGAATTTATTAGAATAACGTAGTGAAAAATGATTGTTCATATGTAATCATAGACCACTAAGATAAATGTTATATCGTTAAATTAAAGTCGTGTGAATCATTTAATATCTTTAAAAGATCGATCGAAATATTTGATATCTTCAAACATTTCATCAATGCTAATCAGCTCTTACGCTATTTATCACTGTAGATTTGGTTGATTTGCATTGTCGACTATTTTTCATGAAAGAATAATGGAAGGTAGGGTCTCCAACGTTTATGTTTGTTTATGTTCGTGTTCATTTATGTTCTTGTTCGTTTATGTTCGTTAATTTATTAAATGAACGAACATGAACAAGTTATATTCCTTAATAAACGAACATGAACAAAAAAAAATTATTCGTTTATGTTCGTGTTTGTTTATTTATTAAATGAACGAACATGAACATACCTCCGTTCGTGTGCGTTCGGTTCGTTTACAGGCCTAGGTGGGAGGAAGGAAAGGAGGAAACAAGAGTAAATGGACTTTTATTTTTTAATTATTAAAATATTATTTATTTTATTTTTAACTTATTTTTATATTAGAAAAAAGAAAATTAGAATAAAATAATGATGTGACATATTATGATTGGTCTTGAATTTCATTTTCAACGGTATTAATGATTTGAGACAAATGAGATAAAGATTTATAGTTGAAGAGTAAAACGTCTCAAAATATTTTTTAATATAACTCAGTACAAATATTATAACTCAGGGCAATGGAGCATTTAGCCTTTCTCTTTCTTAGATTGTTATTTTCATCTCTTTGACTAAACTAAGCTGTCTCTATATCTTTGCTGTTTTAATAAGGTTTAATAAAAAATTAGCCTACAAACTATTTCTATGAAAACGTTTTAGTGTATAAGAGTTTTTGTTAGAAATAGGTGTCAGCATTTTCTCAATTATTTTTTAGGTATCTACAATTTATTTTTTATTTTTTAATAATAAAAATATTGTTTTTAAATAAAAAATTTATTAAAACGCAATTTTTTTATTGAAATTATAAAAAACCCAAAAAAATAAAATCTCTCATTTTAACCCTCATTACCTACTGTCGTCGACCATCTCCGGCCACCATCATCATCGCCGAACGATCACCCACCCATTGCCACCCATCTATTGATCAATCGTCGTCTTTACCGTCACCCAAAATCTCTAAATCTAAAATCCCCAAAATCCAAATCTCTAATTCCCAATTTCAATTTCCCAACCCAAACGGTAGGCAACCATCATCTTCATTGTCGAAAGGTTGGGTTTTGATCAGAATTACATGGTGGTTTGAATGGCGGAGGCGGTGTGGGTTATGAACGTCGGAATCAGATTGGATCGACGAAGAACGGTGATGGTATTCAATGAACCTTTGAACGTTTTTCACGACAAACGGTGTCATATACGATGAAAGGTCAATGGAGGTTTGATCATGGATCGAAGTCGGTGTTGATTATGGTGGCTGTGATGATTACCTTCAGTCGATCGACGACTATGGAAGGGGGAATGTGGAAGGGAGAAGAGGGAGAGGGGAGGGAGCAAGGGTGTTTTTGCTTTTTTTTTTTTACAAAAAAGTATTTTTATTTTTTAAATTTTTTAAATAAATTCTCAAAATTACCATAACGTGACACGTGACACTTAACATGAATTTTTAATGGTGATTAACGTCCGAGCACCTAAAAATATAACGTTTGAAACATTAGGCATTTTTTTTAGTTCTTTAGACACTAAGACATTTTTCGATGCATAGTTTGGGCACTTATTTTTTATTAATCATTTTAATAATGAACACTTCTAGTTTTTTTTATCAATTTTGTAAGGGTAAATTATATCGTTTCTTACTGAACTATACTCTCTCTCCTATTTTACTCACCGTATTTTCAATTTTTCTATTTTGCTCACTGAACTTTACAGATTGAATTATTTTTGCTCACTCGACTGTTTTCTCCCTAACAGCTGATGATGTGGTATTTTTATTATTATTTAATATATAAAATAATTAAAAATGAATAAAATCCGGCTTCGTCCGTCGCCGATCGCCATAGATGGCGGTCGTTTGGTCCCAAAATGGGATGGGTCGCTTTGCCTTGACACCTTGAGTCCGAATATGACCTCCATTTTGTGGGAACTTGCTCCGAAGTTCACAAATTTGAGATTGAAAGTGAGGAAACTGAAACGTTTCAGTCCAAATTCACGGGTTTTGGGATATTTTCCAGTGAAACAACCATCAGATTCGAACTCAAGGGGCCGAGACTAACGACCCATGAAATTTGGGACCAAACGACCACCATCTACTACGGTCGATGGTGGTTGGAATGAAAATGACGTGGTGGCCGACGAAGAGAAATTGAAGAAAAGAAGGAAAAAGGGTAAATTACACCACGAGTCATTGAATTTTACTCTGTCTCATATTTTACTCATCAAAACGACGCTATTTAGAGTATATTTGAGTTTTTAAAGACTACTTCATTTTGATTCATGTGCCACGTCACAATGTCGTTAAAAAATTAGCGGCAGAGTGAGCAAAATGATTCAATCTGTAAAGTTCAGTGAGCAAAATAGAAAAATTAAAAGTACGGTGAGCAAAATAGGAGAGAGATTATAGTTTAGTAAGGAACGGTGTAATTTACCCATTTTGTAATCAACTAATCATCGTTTAATTGCCGTTTTAAATGAATTATAATTTCCAGTTATGAATATTTACTGTTTATTATTATTTTTTAGGTTTAAGAGCGTGAAAATTTGTGTATCTTTTAGAAAATTAATTTATCATCAATGTTGATAAAATAATTTATAGTATTGACGTAAGGATATATGTATAAATGATTATGTATAAATGATGATATGAAAGAAGAAACAATTGATTTTAAGAAAAAAAAATAAAAATTTAATTATTTTTTAAAATAATTAAAGGACACGAACCAAATTACTTTAGTGGTTAAATAAATCGTTGTTGTTACTAGAAATCACAGGTTTCGAGCACAGTGACTACAAGGGTGATTGAACGTGTTGAGTTAATCGATCGACGAAATAGCCAAGAGGGGGTGAATTGGCAATTAAAAATTTGGTAAAAGCTTTTGCAAAAAATAGAAAATATTTGCACAACGATTTAGAGTGATTCGACTTTCTCAACCAAAGTCTACGTCCACTACCTTAGCTACCACACTAAGGATTTTCCAACAAATTCACTAATTTGTTCTTTCTTTTGAAGACAAAGAGTAACCTTACAACTCCCTCAAGAATTATACCATAAATTCTTGAGAACACTCTCTCCCAAAGAGAAGAATACAAATTTCGCAAACTTACAGAAAAACCTCACTAGGAAAGATGTTTGTACAATTCTAGAACAAAGAAAGAACACTCAAGAATGAATACAATAGAGCACAAATGGTGTTCTTGAAAGCAAAATGAATATTAAATAAAAATAGGCTTGAATTTCCAATTGTTGAGCCCCCATAGCGGTTAAATGAGACTCTATGGATGCAAACCTCATATCAAATGACTCCAAAAACGATCGAAAGTATGGAGGCATTTGATCCTCTTGCTGGACCGGCTCGTCATCGGGTACATGATTTTCAATATCTCGCATAAGCTCTTAAAACTCTGGATCATCATCAGTTGCCGGTGTCAGGTGCCGCTCGTGAGGAACTAGCACCCTCTATTTTCTCGGTGGATCCAACCCATTGATCCTTGTCCCCGGACCATCCCGATTTCCTTAAGGATGTGAAATTTATTTGGTTCTTAAGCGGGATGCCTACATCAAGCGAGACCCTAAGGTTGGATTTGATAAACAAGTTGTTAAGAAGACAACTATAAACTTAAGTTTCTACATATTTGGAGGGAACGTTGTTCATGGTTTCTACTAGCTCACCAAAGATGATTTGTGGCAGATTTATTTTCTTTTTATTTTGGATACAATGTATCCACCAAAGGTCTAGTACTCTAAGCATAGAAAATCTACCTCCGGATGGTCTAAACCACCAAGAGATGATTAAGTGAAGAAAACGCTCGTGATAGGTTAACAATGTACTTACACTAGCTTTGGTTTTATAAGGAGTAGCCACAATTTCTCTTTCATTATCTAATCACATGTTATCTAACCCAAATTTGGAAGCGATTGTGTCTGAGTCAATATAAACAAATTGGCCTAAGGGATAAGACAAAATACCTATGGTTTCAGTACGAGACTCGTTTTGAACACAAACCACATTGGAATAGAAAATGGAGACTAGTTGGTGATAAACAATGGGCTAGAGCTGAAACAGTTTATCAAATTTCCAAGATCTGAGAATAGGAAGATATTTGAATTTCATATCGACAATAGCTTGGATAGAGGGAATACGCTCTTCCCAGATTTTATATGACTGGAATAAATTAACGAACATATGGTAGAGATCTTGTCTACGACCAGGTTGGTTAAAACAAGAATTTAGAATTCTCATTTCTGGTTCGTTCGGGTTTGGATTTGGATTGGGAGGAGGAATAGGAGGTCGATTTTGAGGTTGGTTTGAAGATCGACTAGAGGATGACCTAGGGCATTTAGACATGATTAGAATTAGAATGGATAGGGTTACCTGTAATTTAAAAACCCATGTATACAATAAAATTAATCCCAAAACTCAATACGAATTCTCAATAATCAAGGTTCTCTAAAATAATCCTAATGGGAAAATTTGAAAACTATGTTTGAAGAATCATAATACTTATAGTTTTCATGAAAACAACATAATTAAATCAAAAACAACAATTTTAAAATCAAAAAATTATTATTTTAATTTCAAAATTTAAAAAAAAGTTGAAAAATAATGTGTTTTTGATGAAATTAGTTGTAGATTATAGTTCTAGACTACAATCTAACAAATGCTCGATATATAATTCAACCTAGAACTAATCAAATCTAGTCCTAAGTTCAAAAATTAATAAAACAGTGGTTTTAGAAAATTTACCTTGAAATTTTGGATTTGAGAGAGATTAGATGTTGTTTGCACGATTTAATGATTATTAGCAGGGATATATATTGAAGAACGAAGAGATTCAGACTTGAAACATCAGATTTGAGTAATTTTTGAGAGTAGGGTGAGAGAGGGGAGCACGGCTGTGAGGGTTTTAGTTTTTGGGTTTTGATAAAATGTTAGTTTTAGGGATTTAATACCCAAAACCCGACGGGTGTATCGGTACACTGCAGAGTGTATCGATACATTGCAGAGTGTATCGATACACATTCAAGGAATGCATCGGTACACTATCATAGTGTATCGATACATAGTGAGGGTGTATCGATACACTGTGCACAAAAATGTTAAAATTTGTATTTAAACACTCAAAATGCTAAATTAATTAGCTCTAGTGGTATTGGCAACTCATATATCAAAAATTAACAATGTTCAATCAATTAAATCTATCCTTAAACTTTATTTGAACATAATATTAATTTTCACTCAAGATCATAAACCCCCTAACTAATAGCATAGAATGCAATTAAAAAGTGTTATATTTATAAGCATTTTTCAATTCTAATTAAAAGTGCTAAAATTATTTTAAACACTAAGTGAAAATAGGTCAGTTAAACCTAATTCTCTCCTAAGTGTCCAAAATCTTTCTTTATATAAAGGTTTTGTAAAAATATCTGCAAATTGATGCAAAGTATCAACATATTCTAGAACTATATCTCCTTTTGTGATGTGATCTCTAATGAAATGATGTCTAATTTCAATGTGCTTAGTTCTAGAGTGTTGGATGGGATTTTTAGTGAGACAAATAGCTCTAGTATTGTCACACTTGATAGGTATGGTACTAACTTCAATTCCATAATCTAAAAGTTGTTGTTTCATCCATAAAACTTGTGCACAACAACTATCGGCTGAAATGTATTCTGCTTCAGTGGTAGATAATGCAACATAGTTTTGTTTCTTTGAAAACCATGAAATCAACATATTTCCTAGGAATTGACAAGTATCGGAGGTGTTTTTCCTATCTATTTTACATTCTCCATAATCCGTATTAGAAAAGGTATGCAAGCTAAAGCTAGAGTCTCTATGATACCAAAGTCCTAAATTAGGAGTGTCCTTAAGGTATCTAAAGATTCTCTTAATGGCTTTTAGATGTGATTCTTTAGAACATGATTGAAATCTAGCACATAAGCAAACAATAAACATAATGTCTGATATAATTGCGGTTAGATAAAGCAAAAAGCCAATCATAGACCTATATAATTTAACATATACACATTTATCTCTTTCATCTTTGTCAAGCTTTGTAGATGAGCTCATTGGAGTGGCTTGGGGTTTTCCATCTTCCAATCCAAACTTTTTGAGCACATCCTTGATGTATTTTGCTTGATTGATGAAGATGTCATCTTTTCTTTGCTTGATTTGGAGTCCTAAGAAAAATGAGAGCTCCCCATCATGCTCATCTCGAATTCACTCTGCATTAGCTTAGAAAATTCTTGGCAAAGAACATCCTTAGTAGATCCAAATATTATATCATCAACATAAATTTGAACTACTAATAAATCTTTACCTTTTCACTTTAAAAACAATGTAATGTCAACCTTCCCTTTTGAAAAACCTTTTTTTATTAAAAAGTTTGACAATCTTTCGTACCAAGCTCTAGGAGCTTGTTTTAAACCATATAACACTTTTGTCAATTTAAAAACATGATTTGGAAATTTTGAATCTTCAAAACCAAAAGGTTGTTACACATACACTTTTTCTTTAATAAAACCATTTAAAAATGCACTTTTAATATCTATTTGATATAATTTAATTTCATTGAAACATGTAAATGCTAATAACATTCTTATTGCTTCCATCCTAGCTACGAGAGTGTATGTTTCATCATAGTCTATGTCCTCTTCTTGAGTATAGCCTTGAGCAACAAGTTATCCTTGTTCCTCATTATATTACCACTTTCATCAAGCTTATTCCTAAATACCCATCTAGTACATACAGTAGATTTATTACTAGGCCTTTCAACTAATGTCCATACTTTACTTCTCTCAAATTGATTTAACTCTTCCTGCATAGCCATAATCCAATTTTAATCTTTTAATGCTTCTTGGATATTCTTAGGCTCTATGCATGAGATAAATGCAACATAATTACATATATTTCTAAGAGAAGATCGAGTTGTTACTCCTTTTGATGGATCACCTATAATTTCACCATCCTTGACATAGTTGTATTCTCATAGGTAAGGGATTTCCCTTTCTTCAATGGTTAAATTCTCAAGAACATCGTGAGTTTCTTCATCTTTCATTTCTTCCTTTCTTCAATGGTTAAATTCTAAAGAACATCGTGAGTTTCTTCATCTTTCATTTCTTCCTTTGATGATGGTTTTCCAATGTCATGTCCAACGCCATTTATTTTTATGATACCTACGTCATCATCAATACAAGAATCCTTCCTCGGAAGGGGATTATCATCGAAAACAACATGTATAAACTCTTCTACCTCTAAAGTTCTTTTATTAAATATTTGATAAGCTTTAGTGTAACACCCTAACCCATATCCGACCCGAATACGAGTCCAAGATGTCACATCGACTTTTAAAAATGACATTCTTACAAAATATCCAAATATTTGAACTTTTTTTAAAAAATTATGATAATATATTGTTGAATCATATTTGTTATAACCAAATTAAGAAAAATATACGTTTTATGAATAGTAAAATATGGTATGAACATTGAACAATAATGTATGAACAGTACCATATAATTTCATAAAAATATAACCTTTCATTACTATGCAGTTACTTTTACATAAATACGTTAAAAACATTATAAAACTCTATCATATGATTTTAACAAAACCGATTAAAACATATCGTATTCAAACCTTTATTTACATGGAAACCACTATCCTTATTACAAAATACATACTATACATTTCTTTTCTTCTGATCTTTGGAAAGGAGGAACTGACCTGTCTTGCATAACTTTTATCAATCTTCCTCTTCTCGGAACCTACGCGCGAAACAATCACACGCTAAGTCGTTGACTTAGTGAGGCATAAAAACATATGCTATTACTCTACTCATATTAATGCATAAACAATTAATACTGTCATGTCATATAAAAGCATATACCATTTACAATACTTATCAATACTCATATTATTATCATTAATTCCTTTATGTCATGTAAACATATACTGAACCTTTCAATACTCACAATCGGACATCCATGTCATTTTACAACAAAGCACACATAATATCATATCAAGTTATTTATTATCTTTAAAGATCATGTATTAGCCCATGTATACTTTTGAGAACTTAAGGTATGTGAGTACATTGAGGTTGTGCACAATTATGTTGTCACCACAGCTCGTATAAATGTCCCGAAGGACCAGTCCATAGATTTCGAAGAACCTAGGTAAACAGTCCATATGTCCCGAAGAACATAGGTAAACAATCCATATGTCCCGAAGAATATAGGTAAACGGTCCATATGTCCCGAAGAACATAGGTAAACAGTCCATATGTCCCGAAGAACATAGGTAAACCCTCGACCCTTGGCATGCCAACTATACCCCTAGCTCTCATATCACATAACATGGGCATTATCATTTATAACAATTCACATTACTTATTCATATCCTTTCTCTTATAAACACATACCTTTTCTTTTCAGTCACATATCACATGTACGTGTAATCATTGATGTTATAATCACATGTTTCTTTTCTTCTATCACATACCATATGTATGTATAAACATATAATAACATATATCCATTTCTATATACTAATGCACGCATAGTAATCACATAACGTTTTATAAGTTACTTCTTACCATAGTAAATCCATCATTTGCTCATCGTAAACCAATGTTTGATCAATCACATAAGTACAATTTAAATTGCACTCACCTTAGCCTTGTCTGCTTTGATTCAATCTTAACTCTTCGATTGTTTCGTAACTCGTTTAAGCTCGATATCTACATAAATATAATTTCTGAGATGATTATCAAAAGCCTAAACCTTATAACTTGATGTTAATAACTCAAGCTAGTTTAATAAACCAAATTTCAGCTTTTCCTTTAGGAGTGTATCGATGCACTATGGGTGCATCGGTACACAAAATAACTTTGAAATATCCATGCATCGATGCACCTCTTAATGCATCGATGCATCTACCCAGAAATCACTGTTTATTGCACGAAAATTCACTCTTTCAACTTCAATTCTTCAAGTTTCATTCCCTTTCATATTCTTAACTCAAATATACATGCTTAAACTCATTTATATCTATTTATTTCATCTTAAAACTCACAATTCTATTTTTCCATATAGAAATCAATAATTATACCAAATTTTCCATGTTATCCAAACTTAATTCTAACACTTTTAACTTCTTATTATCATAGATGACAAGTCAAATTTATCCTCCAAATTCATTTAAACCTTATTATTCAAAATTTCACTTAAAATTCATTTTCTTTGATCTATCATAACTCCTTTATCTTTTGATTTTAAGATAACTTAAGCTTTCCTTAAGTTTAGTTATCATCTAAGGATCAAAACCCATGCTTAAAATAAACAAACAATCAAGAAATCAGAGAACTCACCTTTGCTTTGAGCTTTCACGTGGAGAAGAGAAGAAGATGTAGAAGAGAATTGCTTGGAAGCTTATCTCTTCAATCATTCTCCACATGAGTATTATAATACCCATTAATTATTATTTAATTATTTTCCTTGTTCAATTGCTCATTTTCCCTTTGACTCCTTTAATATTTACTAACAACTTTAAGGAAATATTTCCACATAAATCATTAAACTATTCAACTATTATACTTTAATCACCATATTCTGAAATTTTACAATGTTGTCACTAACCCGTAGTTTGGGATTTTACAAATCTTCCCCCCTTAAGAAAATTCATCCTCAAATTTTCATTGCACTGGAAGATAAGATAATGTCTACACGTCTCCAATGCATTCCACGTATCACCTCTTCAATAAATCTTTCATATTATCCTAAACCTCATTTCCCTACTTTAATTCTTTCATTACCTTTTTCCATTATACATTCATCTATTGTCACTTATCATATACATAGTAACCACTAACCATAATTCATCTCTATCTTTTCGCTCATTCCATTTTGCATTTTACTTTAACCTTTCTATCATGTCACTTAACACATAAACAGTAACATCCATTTCCATTACTTAATATCATAAATCCATCTCTAATTCCTCATAACAGTAACCAAATTCTTATTCCATCATCATTTGATCAAAATACAACTTTAAATCTTCTTCAAATATGATTAAACATATACTTTATAAAATCAAACAATTTTTTTCATCACCTTGCACATTTTCGTATTTCTATATCGAATTTATCATTTACACTTCCATATAACCTCTATCATACTTAACCTTTAAATTTCATTTTTCATTTAATTTCTTTATCCCTTTACTCATTCACAAATAAAAATCTCCTTGTAACATATATCATATCTTTTTTTCAGGCTCTCATACTCTTTTCATATCACTTATATTTATCCCTGATTATTTATACAGAACCTCTTCCTTTACCATCTCTTGTACTTGTATTTTTATTCCTCAGAGCTCCCTTTAAAACCTGTAAATACTCTTCTCATTGCCTTAATCATATATATAAGATCCAAATACATAACCATATTCAAATCCATATCATACTTGAATAACTCACTTTATCTTTTCTTCTAATCTTTTAACTCTATCACCTTTACTCTTACGGCTATTCAATAACAACTGCTCAATCTAGGGCACAAGCCCTAATTAACCAATCATATGCATCGACCTTTTATCATTTCTTAATCCTTGTCTGTACTTTAATACACATGATCTTTTCATATTACTTTATACTTCTGTTTCAATCTTTACTTTCCCTCAAGCATAAGAATCGTTATTTCCTTCACTATATCACATTCATATAATCAACACATTTTCATCATGTAATCTTATTAGCTAACGCTAACTCTTTCTTCTAGAGTACAAACCCTTATCATGTCCACACTATTGCTTATACATAGTACTATCCCTTTATTTTAAATCCATAATTCTGATTTCATTCATCATATAAACGTATCACTGATGCACTTATAATTGAACTCTTCTACAAATTCTAACCACGTCATTTGATTTTTTAACGTTCTTATGGTGACATTTGTTCACCATATTCTATCTTATCCACGTAATAACGAAACTTCTCAATTTAACTTCACCACTTTGGATAAATGAAAACCTTCTAGCATTATCTTCATATCATTTATCCAAAGGTCTGTAACAATATAACCTTCCCCACATTCACTCTTGAGCTCGGGTGCTCATAACTCTTTTAACTATTTTGATACATTCATTCTATGAGTTAACGAAGTATACAATTGAAAACACATCGGAATATCATTCAACATCATGAATCATTCTCTAATCTTATACAGGCATTCCCTGAGGTTTTCGCTCTTCTCCCTGCCTGGCCAGGGTAGGTGAATGTTATTACCTTCAGGTCTATCACCTTGTGCTTCACTTTGGAAGCATATACTCATGTGCTCATATCATTTCTTCTTTCACATCTCACGTGTGCATATAATCATCCAATTCATATCATATAGCATATGTCATTTGCATATGTTCACATATCATCTATCATATCATATAAACATATATCTCATAAATCATTCTCATGTATTCACTTATCTTTTATAACATAACAATTTAACTCTATTAACAAGACAACACACTCCTTACCCTATCAGATCAGAAAAATTTTCACTTTATGTTGGCATGTATACTTTTTAAAACACTTTTGACTTCGTTTTTAGCCTAGAATCGGCTAAACCGTAGCTCTGATACCATTAAATGTAACACCCCAACCCGTATCCGACCCGAATACGAGTTTGAGATGTCACATCGACTTTAAAATGATATTCTTACAAAATATCCAAATATTTGAACTATTTTTAAGAAAATACGCTAATATATTATTGAATCATATTTGTTATAACAAATTTAAGAAAAATATACGTTTTATGAATAGTAAAATATGGTATGAACAGTGAACAATATTGTATGAACAATACCATGAATAGTAAAGTGAACAGTGAAAAATTTTGAATATCAATTATGCATCGATGCACTGCAGCAGTACTGCTACAGTAACTTCGTAAAAAACGTATAAATTCATAAAAATATAACCTTTTATCGCTATGCAGTTACTTTTACATAAATACGTTAAAAACATTATAAACTCTATCATATGATTTTAACAAAACCGATTAAAACATATCGTATTCAAACCTTTATTTACATGCATACCACTATCCTTATTATAAAATACATACTATACACTTCTTTTCTGATCTGATCTTTAGAAAGGAGGAACTGACCTGTCTTGCATAACTTTTATCAATCTTTCTTTTCTCGGAACCTACGCGTGAAATAATCACACGCTAAGTCGTTGACTTAGTGAGGCATAAAAACATATGTTATTACTCTACTCATATTAATGCATAAACAATTAATATTGTCATATCATATAAAAGCATATACCATTTACAATGCTTATCAATACTCATATTATTATCATTAATTCCTTTATGGCCATGTAAACATATATTGAACCTTTCAATACTCACTATCAGACATCCATGTCATTTTACAACAGAGCACACATAATATCATATCAAGTTATTTATTATCTTTAAAGATCATGTATTAGCCTATGTATACTTTTGAGAACTTTAGGTATGTGAGTACATTGATGTTGTGCACAATTATGCTATCACCACAGCTCGTATAAATGTCCCGAAGGACCAGTCCATAGATTCTGAAGAACCTAGGTAAACAGTCCATATGTCTCGAAGAATATAGGTAAACAGTCCATATGTCCCGAAGAACATAGGTAAACAGTCCATATGTCCCGAAAAACATAGGTAAACAGTCCATATGTCCCGAAGAACATAGGTAAACCCTCGACCCTTGGTATGCCAACTATACCCCTAGCTCTCATATCACATAACATGGGCATTATCATTTATAATTCACATTACTTATTCATATCATTTCTCTTATAAACACATACATTTTCTTTTCAGTCACGTATCACATGTACGTGTAATCATTGATCTTATAATCACATGTTTCTTTTCTTCTGTCACATACCATATGTATGTGTAAACATATAATAACATACATCATTTCTATATACTAATGCACACATAGTAATCACTTAACGTTTTATAAGTTACTTCTTACCATAATAAATCCATCATTGGCTCATCGTAAGCCAATGTTTGATCAATCACATATGTACAATTTAAATTGCACTCACCTTAGCCTTGCTTGCTTTGATTCAATCCTAACTCTTTGCTTGTTTCGTAACTCGTTTAAGCTCGATATCTACATAAATATAATTTTCGAGATGATTATCAAAAGCCTAAACCTTATAACTTGATGTTAATAACTCAAGCTAGTTTAATAAACCAAATTTCAGCTTTTTCTTTAAGAGTGTATCGATGCACTATGGGTGCATCGGTACACAAAATAACTTTAAAATATCTATGTATCGATGCACCTCTTAATGCATCGATGCATCTACCCAGAAATCACTGTTCATTGCACGAAAATTCACTCTTTTAACTTCAATTCTTCAAGTTTCATTCTCTTTCATATTCTTAACTCCAATTTACATGCTTAAACTCATTTATATCTATTTATTTCATCTTAAACCTTAAAATTCTATTTTCCATATAGAAATCAATAATCATACCAAATTTTCCATGTTATCCAAACTTAATTCTAACACTTCTAACTTCTTATTCTCATAGATGACAAGTCAAATTTATCCTCCAAATTCATTTAAACCTTCTTATTCAAAATTTTACTTAAAAATCCATTTTCTTTGATCTATCATAACTCCTTTATCTTTTGATTTTAAGATAACTTAAGCTTTCCTTAAGTTTAGTTATCATCTAAGGATCAAAACCCATGCTTAAAATTAATAAATAATCAAGAAATCAGAGAACTCACATTTGCTTTGAGTTTTCACGTGGAGAAGAGAAGAAGATGTAGAAGAGAATTACTTGGAAGCTTATCTCTTCAATCATTCTCCACATGGGTATTATAATACCCATTAATTATTATTTAATTATTTTTCTTGTTCAATTACTCATTTGCCCTTTGACTCCTTTAATATTTACTAACAACTTTCAGAAAATATCTCCACATAAATCATTAAACTATTCAACTATTCTACTTTAATCACCATATTCTAAAATTTTACAATGTAGTCACTAACCCGTAGTTTGGGATGTTACATTTAGAATTTAAGGAATAACCCAGAAAAATTCCTTTATCACTTTTAGCATCAAATTTGCCAAGATTGTCTTTACCGTTGTTTAAAACAAAACATTTACATCCAAAAAGATGAAAATAACTAATGTTGGGCTTTTTTTTTTTTATTTAAAATTGACCTAATCATTACTCAGTTTATAACATAACAAGCGATATTTGTGGCTTCCGCCCAAAAATATTTTGGCAAATTGTTTTCACAAAGCATGGTTCTAACAATTTCTTCTAAAGTTTGATTTTTCCTCTCAACAACTCCATTTTGTTGAGGGGTTCTAGGTGCTGAAAAATTATGGCTAATACCATTAGAATTACAAAAATTAGTAAATCCAATATTTTCAAATTCAGTACCATGATCACTCCTAACACTAGTTATGAGTAACCTTTTTCGTTTTGGATTACTTTTGAAAACTTGATGAATTTTTCTAATGCTTCATCTTTAGTACTTAAGAATATAACCCAAGTATATCTAGAATAGTCATCTACCAATACAAAACAATATTGTTTTCCACCCAAGCTAGTAGTCCTAATTGGCCCAAAAAGATCTATATGTATCAATTGTAATACTCTA